GAGAAAAAAATCCTTACTCACTTGGGCCCATTCTAGAGAGTTTGTGCCATCAAATTGAACCGTAGTGATTTGAAGTCCAGAGTACTCTATATTTGATGTTTTGTTGTGACATTTTTATTTTTTGAAAGCAAAAGACGTATTCAAGTGTTACTGAAATCTAGACATACCCTCTGAGTTCTCCCTAAGCACTCTTTGCAAACATTGAAAGCACTAAATAAGCCATTGGCGTGTTGACTGTAAAATTGTGATTGCAAGTTTCAAATGTAACGTGGTTGTAGAACTACTCGATGCACATTAATCAGCTGTTATCAAACCCCCAAAAATAAAACTTGATTAATCTATTTCAGATTTCTCATAGGAAGGAACGAATTGTGCAACCTAGTTGATCTAGAGTTGCGAGAACCTTGGCCATGGTCCCACCTCAGGAACTCGATCCCGCGGTTTTTCCATGGGATCTTAGAGGAAGCTGGGTTTAGAGAAATAGGGATCACGCTTCCTATAAGATGGTGTTAAATTAATTGATAATTTAAGTTTTTTAGTTTCAAAACATTTATTTATTCTTTTTGTGTGGAGGTCCACTTTAATTTAGTGGTCTTTGTGGACCATCATCACTTTCCATTACATTCTTATCTCTTCTTCTTATTGTGGGCCCCACACCCTTTCATCCTTGTTTGGTTTAATGCCACGTTCTATTGATGTGGCCTTAGGCTACTTCTTCTTTTACGTCCTTCACATGTTAACTCTCTCTTTTACCACCTCATCTCTTTTAAGATTTTATTGAATATTTTATTCTCTCTTTCATATAAATGAGATGAGGTGAAGTACGAAAGTCGAGATTAGAAGAAGATGCTTTTAAAATTAAACAGAGAAGAGAGTAAGTAAGAGAGCTTTTCTTGAGAAAATCCAGAGAGAATAGCTTTGATAAAATTAAGAGAGAGGTGACCGTATTTTACTGGTTAGGGAGCAAGATCAGTAGTATTGTGATTTTGAGCGAGTCTTTGAACGTTCAACTCAGAGATTCACGAATTTCTTTTTGATCTAGCTGTATCCTGGGAGTTTTCATGCTGGTACCGTTTGCATATCGGTTTTCTAGCCGAGTTGGGGGCGTTAAACACTTCGAAGAAAGCGAGTTCCTCTCGTGCCTCCAGATGCAAGACATACTTAGTCTCTCGAAATAACAAATGGGACGTCAGTATACATGCTTGTAGGATCCCTCCAAGGAGAGGAATTATACTATTAATTAAACTATTGCTCCTCTCCTTGTTATTATAGATTTATTTCTTTAAACTGTGTTAAACTGTGGTGCATATCACATCGTGATATACTAAATTATGGTATTAAAAAACTATAGTTAAATATCATAGTGAGCCAATTTATGATATTAATAATAGTGTTATTGCATTAACTTTGAGTCTATTAGTATTATTGATAATAAGCTAAGATGTGTGATAATGGATTGAGCGGGCATTGGCTCAATCCTAATTTTATCACATACTATTAGTTGATGTAGGTTTATGTATAGTGGAGCTTATACCCCTCCAAGTCAAAACCTCGATCCCAGTGACATGGCATCTCTCTCCCAGGTATCCTAGGATCTAGCTCCTTAACTTGTTGAATGTACGGACATCGATCATAATACCAAGGAGCTTCTACCCTATGGCAATTCGGCTTTCCTTGAACTGATCCCGCTCCTGCCTCCACCAACTATGAGTTCATCATTGGATCAGTCATCAATGGATCACGAATTTTGGGGACACGCCATTAAAAAAATTGGCATCTTTCCCAAAAAACCAGGTCAACTAAAAAATAAACCCTGGAAAACACACTTTCTTTTAAAAAATTGTATATAAGAATATTGTCACCATGATCTTCAAAAATGAGTTATGTTAGGGTTTCTTCTTTCTTAGCATTCTTTCATTGTTTGGCCGTTGCTGAAACCATCAGTTACATTGGCAGAGTTTCACCAGTTGACTCTCATTTCTTCAGATTTGACCCTTTGATACCAAGTTGATAATCTAGATCTATAATAATCAAGTATTAGGAGATTGAAGATGTGAAGAGGAAGAAGAATAAGATGAAGGAAGGAGAGAGGTGCGTGAGAGATAGGGAGAGAAGAGAAGAGAGGAGTCCATGAGAATTTGAAAAGAGGAAACAGGTGATGTGACCTCTCTTTAGGATTAGTCACATATTTATATTATCGATGAGGAAAAATTACAAAAAATACCCTTGTATAAGTTAATAACTCACACAGCCCCTATGGAATTAGATATTACATTTATGTCCTTAACTGATACAATTTCAACAGTCCCAAGGCTTTGTTCAAGAATTTGGAGGCGAAATTATTCAGTGGCGATCTGGGATCGTATCACTACCCTTATCAGCAATGCAATTTGTTGATAAGATCTTGGCCACTTCAGCTGAGACCAGACATCTTCGATCACTAGCCCTAGGGTTTCAACTTGCAAGCCTGGTTTTGCAATGGCTTATAGCTTCAGGATGGATTATTGTCATTTTGATACTAGTGTTCTCTCGCAACCATTAATGGCTAAGAGGCAGTGATTTACCAGAAAAATTGGATTCTCCAACTATGCTTGCAGTATTCCTTAGGAAAATATCAAAGTTATGCTCGATCCAACCTTTGATGGAATTTTCAAAGTGTAAGATTGCACCATCCACTGTTTTCTCCTCTAAAACCTTTAAGGCCTCCTCAAGTTGATTTACAGGGCAAAGTTTTGCAGAAAGTGTAAGATTTCATGGTGGTTATTGACAATAAGAGCCACTAACGTTTCACCATGAGATGCGTACTGGATGGAGAAAACGTTATGTCCTGCATTGGAATATAATGGGTTTTGAGGTCTGGTTATTGCCTGAAAAGGTTTCTCCTTGGAGGGGGAGCAGCTCCATTTCTTCTCTTTCAAGCCATTATCAGAGGCTTTAATGCATTTGGGAAAATGGGATTTTAGTGGGAGCCAAGCTACCTAAATCATGATTTAAATGCAGTTTGTGAAAACCCAACGAATGGCCATCAGAAATTTGAAAAAAAATGTAGATTTTGGAGCCAAACAAGGGGTTAGTTTTGTTGTAATGCTTCTCTCAGTCCCATATTGTGTGGGACAGTTGGTCTTTCTAGTGCATATTTCTCAGGGCATTTTGATAGACTATGCTATCTGGGAGTAGCCTATAGGGCCCTATTTGTGGTTTCACTTTGTGATGGTTTGGGTTGCTGGAGTTTATTAAATGCAGAATTACAAAATCATAAATATATTCACTTGAGGGGAGGTTCCAAGTAGTGTTTGAAAAATCAGACCGGTGGGTCGAACCGGCCATCAACTGGTTCTGAGTTAGAGTTGAGAAAACAGAAAAATTTCGGGGGATGAAGAGAATGGAAAAAAATAAAATAAATAAGAAAAAACTCTTAAAAATGAGAAATGAGTGACAATAAAAAATTAAGCTCAAAATGGAAAAAAAAAAGGAAACAAAATTTCATCTTTTGACTTCATCTATGCAGCTATAGATCCAACAAAATGATTTAGATCTTATTGAGTAACTGCGAGAAAGATAAAAATCGTCTTCTTTCAAGGAAAAAAAAAAAACAGAGGAGTGTCGAAGAAAATGGTGAAACTAAAGGCCAAAATTGGTCTTAGAGATTTTTGGTTGTGATATGAAAAATTTTAAGGGCTTTTGTAGATCAATGTGATGGGAATATTTTGGGACAAATTTAATATAATTGGTGAAACAATAAGGATGAAATTGACGATTTTCAATTTCAGTTTCGAAAAAAATCTCCCAAACTTTGGACTCTCCTTTTCTTCTATTTTGGTTTTTGATAAAAACAATGGTTGTGTGGATAGGAAAGAGGCCTCAAAAACTAAAATGATAGGAAAGAGGGCTTGAAAATTAAAATCGAGTGTCATGATTTTTTGTGAAGAAATGAGGGAGAAAGATTGAGAATGGCGATTGGGGGTTTCATGAAAAAGATTATTATTTTTTTATATAATAATTGGGTAATTCCAGGGAGGACTCGGAGTGGTCCCCATCCAATCCCAAGCTGATTCTGGTGGCTCTGAGTTTGGCTGGTGATTTGTTAACACTGGTTTCAAGTGTCATCTTACGGGTTTCTTTATGTCGCAAGGACTTCAAGACAGGTGACTGATAGACTTGGCAATTTGCATTCTCTGTCAGTTGCTCAAGTGAGAACAAATAAATCCCTCATGTTTGGGACGTAGTTTTTTTTTTGTTTTATAACTGAAAAGGATAATGCATCCTGCTTGAGAATTATTGACAAAATACAGTTACTACTTTCCTGAAGAATGAGAAAACACTTGTTTTTAAGAAAGAATGGCTTATACTGTAAAATATATTGATCTGTTGTAATTTTGGATACATAATTGACAATATTTGGATGTGTTTGTAATTAGTAGCTGGTACATAATATTTTCATACAAGCAAATGCCCCAACTCACTGCATCATGAAAGTTACGTAGTCTCTACTTGATAAACAAGGTTCCACATAAATGCTCTAGGTGCTGTGGGGTTTCCTTGTAAACCTTTTATATGTCCATTCTCAGTTGGCTTATCAGTATGTACTTGTCCTACATCTTTCAAAGTTAATTTGGTAGCTCATTATTTGGCCTTTCCCTGTCTCTCCGGGAACATGCAATTTATGTTCATACAAGAAAATGCCCCAACTCACTATCATGAAAGTTTAGTCTCTACTTTATAAACAAGGTTCCACATAAGTGCTCTAGGTGCTGCAGGGTTTCCTTGTAAACCTCAGTTGGCTTTATCAGTATGTGCTTGTCCAACTATCTTTTAAGGTTAATTTGGTAGTTCATTATTTGGTCTTTCCCTGTCTCTCCTGGAACATGCAATTTCATGATATTTTTCTATGTATTAAATGTAGTGTGTTCAATGCAGTTCAGCTATTCTCTGTGATTATCGACTAGACTGCGGCTTTCTTTCTTACAATGAAGTTAACCAGAAGTCTGGTCCTTTTGCAGGACAAGGTACTGAGGCTGGGAACCCTTACTTTCATGGGCCGAAGTCGGATTCAAAACTAGGAATGGATAAAGCAGCCAACAAAGATCCAAAATCTTCAGCCCATGAATCTGATATGCAAGTGGGCTACGAGGAATCACCTCTCCCTGAGACTTTAGAATCTTTGGAACAGAAATTTATGGATGAAATCACTAAATTAACGAAGGAACAGCATGATGTGGAAAATGAAGAAAATGCTAGGCATCGAGAGGTTTCAGTTCTTCGATTGATTTTTTTTATTTTGCTGGAGAACGACGTGTTTCTTAGACATGTATTTTGAAATGGAATCATTTGCTTGCAGAGGCTTAGGGAAATAAATGATCAGCATCAGGATAAGTTGGTTGCACTTCGTGCACTGCACAGCAACGTTCGGGAGGAGTTTCTCCGTCGAGAATCACAGATGCGACACCAACAATATCAGCATGCTGCTGCAATGAGCCAGTATAGTCACCAGAACAATGCAGGTGCTGTTGAACCTCGTGGCTATGGTGGTGAGGGGCATCAAGGCTTTTCTGGTGGAGGGTATGACTCCTACAGAGAAAGGTTGCAATTCTATGGAAATGCTTCTCATCCACATTCTAGGAGTCAAGGATCTGATGCAAGAGGTCCATATCCTGGAGGGCGGATGTATGATTCTGGAAATCGTTTCTACTAGAGGAACCTCTCAATGTCAAGCGGTGATCCCCTCTCTCTCTCTCTCTCTCTCTGTGAGTGCGTGTGTGTTGAAAAGTGGACTATGTGACCGGGTAAATCAATACCAATTAAAATTTTTCCTATTTTTTTCTTATTGTATTGCTAATCAAGTCACTTATAAGTGTCCAAATACAATTTAAATCAAATAAGATTGCCAAGAACTCTCAATTGCTTGCCATTAAAACAAAAACATAGATTTGGAAATGGAAGATGTAATAGAATTAAGAGTGCATAAACCAACTTATACCTTGTCTCAAGTTACCTCCAAGGGCTTCGTATACCGGGTCCCCTCCACCAATAGCACACGGGATCTCAGTTCAAGATCTCATCTCACAACTTGGTAAGCCTAGGCAAAAACCATCAGAGAGCGTGACATGAGATATCCCTTGACCAAGGCTCAACAGATGAGCATAAGGTCAAGACCTAGGGCTAGGCTATGTGGCTTGGTGCCACCCCTTAGGGTTTGATTTCCTTCTTAAAACCCTAAGAACTCAAAACAACCCAAGGCTTAGTTGCCATAAAGCAAAATAGGACAGTTTGGAGGTGGGGCACACCACCCATGGGCAGGCCATGTTGGCCCCATGCCCCATATATTGGTGGGCAC